GAGTGAACAAGTTACCTGACTGGGTTTAAACCACGACAACACTGAATACAAAACCAAAGAAGGATGAAAGCTTCCCACTTTATTTAGTAGGAAACATGGCACCAGGAGATAGCATTTATAGATATGGTGGGTTTGGTGGAGAGTAAGCAATTTAAACTTGAGTTGGGCTACAAAACAGTCAACAGAAGTTTTGGTGAGAATGCAGATGCAAAGGGGAGAGAACTACTTAGATGGCAGGCAGTGTAACCTCAATGCTACCAGAGATGAGAGGAAGGAAAAATATTGATGTACTATATGCTAAAGCCTTGGACAGAAATACATATCCATGCCTTCTCTTTTCCCCTTCCTACTCCCCAAAACCTGCAGTATTGCAGCACTACATGATAAAAATAGCAGATACTATGTGATTTAATATCTGAGCAATTTTCCCCAGTTTGTTATGAAACACACACAAGATTAAAAGCATGACCAAGGTGCAATCCTGCAGGGAAAGGCACAGCTTGATGCAGGGTATGCTTTCTAGAGAAAGGAGAGAGTGACGCATTTTAATGGATGCATGAGTTTATTGAAGGTGAAGCTTTGAAACCACTTTGTGCCCTCGTTAGCATTCCCTACCAGCAGCAAAGAGAAGTCAAACTGTTTCAGAATGCTGTGAGGTAACCTGATTGATGCGTACGTTAAACGGGCCTGCTCATGGTCAGCAATACTGCTGGGTTTTTTCCTGATTCAGCTCATGTTTCAGGCAGGAAAATAAGCTTCATTTGACCCTGAAGCAAGTTCAAAGCCGGCTGTATGCTGTGTATTTCTGCAACAGAGTAGAAACTTCTCTACAGCAACATATAACAATATGTTCTCTAAGTCTGGAAGCAGAAAACCCAAGAGGCAGGGTGGCTCAGGGACCCATGAAAGCAAGGGAAGTATGCTGAGAGCTGTAACTTCACAGGAAGAGCACCCACTGCAAGCTCTGGCCTCAGACTACTTCCAGACTCAATAGGAGCGGCAGCCTTGCACCAGGCCAACATACCACAAACAGCCTGAGACTGAGCACCACTACCTCACACAGTAACAAATCAGTGTCATCAGCACATTGCCTCCATGAGCACCTCCTGGCTACTGAACACCCTCCTCTAATTTGGAAAAGGAAAGTGCAGTATGGCACACCACACTCAAATGAGGAGCAAATCCTGCTCAATACTGGCTCAATCCAGCTATTAAGTAACCGGAGTCCACCCAACAGCACCACGACCAATTAAAGAAAACTGGAATACTATGAGAGATTATAGACATTACATCAAGCAAATCGGTTCCACTGTCTCCTGCATTTAAATGTAATTCACAAAAAAAAAAAAAACAAACCAAAAAAAACCCCCCACAAAAACCAAACCTCACAAAACAGCTCAGAAATATATTATTTAAAACTTCGCAGGCCACCCTTCCTGCGCTCCTGCTTTCCACTCTGACCAGCATCAGAGATAGAGCCATGACAGAAAGCCAACAAAATTTAGTCTTCAGCACCACAGATACAATACAACCATGCATTTCCAAGTTCTCTCCTTAATTCAACCCGTTAGACAGTTTCATTACCTATTCCTGGGATCTGGTGAACATAGTTATTTACAGGAAAGTAAACTAGCTCCAACATAAATGAGAAAAGCAGGAAACAAGTTAGTAAAGGAAAATTCTCAGATGACTCCAATATGATGCCTGTGTGTTTTAATTTTACACAAAAGCATTTAAACATAATCCATAATTGAAGGACTAGCTGCATTCCTGTAGTTTTTCAAGGTGTCTCCAAAGCAATCACAGGTGACAACAGCAAATCTTCACCAGACAAGATGGGATCACAGAATGGTTAGGGTTGGAAGGGACCTTGAAGATCACCTAGTTCCAACCCCCTGCCATGGGCAGGGACGCTTTCCTCTAGACCAAGTTGCTCAAAGCCCTGTCCAGCCTGGCCTTGAACACTGCCAGGGATGGGGCAGCCACAGCTTCTCTGGGCAACCTGTGCCAATGCCTCACCATCCTCATTGTAAAGAACTTCTTCATAATGTCTAATCTAACTCTACCCCGTTTCTGCTTAAAGCCATTCCCCCTTGTCCTGTCACTACCTAGCCTTGTAAAAAGTCCTTCTCCAGATTTCCTGTAAGCCCACTTTAGGTACTAGAAGGCTGCTCTAAGGTCTCCTTGGAGCCTTCACTTCTCCAGTTTTCCTCTTACTCTTAGATTAGGATGCAGACTGCTGATCCACAAGCAGGAACAGCCATTTTCTCAGCACTTCTGACTACACTTGACAGATGTAGCTTTGCCCTTCAGGAGCTGTGTGCAGCAAAGCACAGTTGCTGACCCTCTGAAACTGTCAAAGTGGAGTGCCATTTACCTTAACCCTAGAAACATCACATTGCATGAGAGAATTTTAAACAGTTACAGAAACTCAGACTGATTTAGGGCAATGGTTGCCAACCTGCAAGCAATGTGCTGCCCAGGCCACTTTCCAGCAAAGCTCATGGACAAGGAAATTCAAATCTCTAATGTGAGGAACTGGAGAGGAAGGTCAGATGCTGCTCACTGCATGCTTTGTGCTCTGTTCTCATGGGAGAGAAGGCTGGGGAACCATCAGTGAGTCCCAGCACTCCTACCCCTAGGCAGAGACCATCTGCTTTAACCACACTTGACAAATGACACCTTCCTCCTTACCTCCCTCTTCCTCTTCAGAAGGGCTTATAAAGCTCTTAAATGCCCACAGCTCTGTCACTATTGTCTTAATGACCCCTGAAGTGTTTATCTTAGGGATGTCATATCTACTTATTATTTCCTTTCCTGCTTGGTCCTGCAAACAGTCCATTTAACTGTATTCCACATGGTCAGATCACATCATGTACAGCTCTTAAGACAGCCGCATGGCATTTAAGTTTAATTCATAAATTAATGCAGAGTGGCTACATCTTCCACACCAGAGCTACAAATGCTTCATTTATCAAATACAATTTCAGCATTGCTAATGTATTTGTAGACTCATTAATTGCTTACTGGAACTTCCAAACCACATATGTTATTATTTAGCTATATAGGTTTACTGGGGCAGGGGGGAGATAATAAAAGGAACAGGGGGAGGGGAAAACACTCCAAAAGCAGATGTTCCCAAGCTTTTTTAAACCTAAGAGACACGACATAAGAAGGAGCAGCTGGGGACACTGAATAAGTACAGACCTTTATATGTGACTAATTACATACACATGCTGGAATTCTCAAAGGAAGATCAGGGAGCCAGGCTCCCAGCTCACGCTGACTTTCAACAGGAGTTCAGTGGCCTGTTTCTTCAGGCATGCTAGAAGTCAGATGTCATCTTGCTAAATACAGAACACTGCTTCTAAATGCTGCCTCTGGTGGCTTAACCACAGCGCAGCCTATGGATTTCTACAAACCTATCTGCAGGAGCCCTCCTCTTTTTTTAACTAAATACACATACATATTTGCTGATCCTAGCCTATGTTGCCCTGCGATATGAGTGAAAGTTGTGTCTGGACCAGCCCAGAAGCATTAAAAGTCTCTGGGGAACCACCCTTCTGTGCTGAACACAGATGTGCTGCGCAGAATCTGCTCTAATGATTGCAGGGAAAGGTTTACAAAAAGCCTAGATCTCTTTTCTGAGTATTTCTGTTGTAAAGGAAGGATATCTGTATACATAAAGTGATGTCTCAGAAAAGATTTAGGGAGAACCACATGAGACTGTTTTTCAAATACATTCAAGGAATGCAGGTACACACACTCCATTCATGACTTAGTTCTAACAATTCAACATGGTCCATGTTGCTGATTTTCCTTCCTCTGCATTACAGAAAAAGAACAGTGCAGATTCTAGGATGCACAGGATTAAGGCCTGATTCAGCTTAAAAACCAGGAGGTGAAAAAACCAAAAATACAGGAGCTATGTGTCAGCACAAGGGGGTAGGTATGGACATAACCATCTGGAAGCATGAGAAAGCCTTGACCACTTTTTTCCACGGCCTTAGTACGTTAATGTTCATAAAATCATGGACAGATTTCTGTCAGGTGACAAACCACTTGACAAACAAGACTGGGCCTTCACTTTACAGCCAGTGGGAGGTGATGCAGGTGCTGGTAGCCACAAACAGCAGCTGACTCTGCACAGGGCCAGGAAGGCTGTGGCTGTAAAGACGACAGAGGAAGACAACATGAGATACTTTGTGAGTGAAAGACAGAGAGGGAGGAAGACAGAACCTACTGCCTTTTTCCCAGTGCTCAAGATGACTCACTACATGGCACAACAGTAGTTAGTACAAATGCAGTTCTATAAATGTATCAGGCCACAAAGTCCATACATGTTGTCTTTTATGAGCCAAGCACATGGTCAAAGGTATGTGCTCAGCAGGCTGTAGGTCTGCTGTCTTTGTATGATGTGAACATACACATCAAAAGCCTGCATCCTGAAACCTGTAACAGGGACGGACGTGAGAGACTTACAGAGACCCAGTTAACAACTGTGTCCAAGCCAGTCACTAGGACTATCAGATTTCATACCAGTTCCACAGAGGGAGCCTACAAGTAACAAAGTGCTCCCAGAAGGAGTGTGCCAAAGTGAAAGTTGTGGTCCTTACCAAAGGATGACAGCAGGAGCTGCTTGGGGACACAAGATGCATGGTACCTGCATCTGTACTCTCAATGTAACTTTTAAATCCACTAATGCTTCTCCTTGTAATATCTTTTGCAGAGATTTGGTCCAGGAGATTGTGCTGTAGCAGCTGGCAGAGATTAGGGCCTCTGAAGGGCTCCGATGAAGCACAACAGCTAAGTGGTTTAGGGCTAAATGAAAGTATTGAATGCTTCCTAAGGAGAAGCTACTAGGTAACAGCTTTTAAACTGATTATTTTTGCTTCCTCTGCAGAGGCTAAGGAAGCTCACGCATCTTTCGCATTTTAAAGTAATCTGCTACTTAATGCTCAAGAGCTCAGCACTTAACAATTTCAATTTGCCCTTCCATTCAGATAAATTTTCCCCTCCACCTGTGCAGCTGACTATTCAGGGTGTGCTCCATGGGACTTCATGCTGGCTCAGCAAGGGCCCAGCTGCTTTCGAGGCTTTCTGGAATGTGGAGGTGGCAGGAATGTGAACACGCTTTCTGGTGAAGACCTGTGGGTAAGCTCTTAAGAAAAATATTTCTTTTCTGGATAGGTAAAAAAAATTCCTACTTAGGCCTAATCTTCACTCAGCCTGCCTCTGTATCTTTGAAAACAAGCACTATTCTGGGGCTTAAAAAAGCATATGTCTCAAAAGTATTTTTAAAGAGCTGCCTGCTGGAAGCAGCTTTTGCTCTCCCTGCAAACCTGAACTCTTCAACTAGCTATATCTATGAGGCTACTTGAAGGGGAGTGTTTATCTTTGCCACTAAGAGCTCCATTATTTTTTTTCTTAACTTAAAAAAAGGAATTCAAGGAAGTTCACAAGACAAGTATTGGATTCATCAGAACAGTCAGGTTTTAAGATGAAGAGATTCTAGGTTCTTGCTCACGGTTTTACAGCCTCATCTTACTTGCTCACTGCAATAAATTCATGAGCTATCCACAAGAAAATCAGTTATCATCACAAAACTCGGTTGGAAGCTGCACTTCCCTAATATACCCAGTCCCTGGCTTTTCACTCATGAACTACATATAACAGAAGTTCTGTCTACCCTACCTTTGCTGCATTTTCCACTGGCAAATCCTGGCTACACAGACATGCAATTGAGCATTACTTAATTATCACACTCTTTTCTTACATACCTAAGCACTAGAACCAAACTATGAACAAACCTGAATAAGATTTCAGATAGTGGAAAAACATTAAGAGCTGAAGTTTGCTGTATATCTTCTTAAAGCAAACAGTGTGGCATGAAGAAAATGTTGGACTTCATTCTAAAGTGCTTTGATCGTACCCCCCCACCAATGTAATCATTCCACTTTCTTTTTCTTCATCATTCCCCTTTCTCACTTGTAAGACACATTACCACAAAAACCTGCACCAATATAACTACATACTCTGGAAATACTTTTATTTCCCAATTCTTTAATCTAAGCTGCTAAGCTCTGTTCTCACACTCAAATAACCAATAGCTGTGGAAGACAGCTAGAGCCAGAGTGTCCATGTCAGCTACAGAAAAGAAGATGACATTGGGAAAAGATAGCTTCAGCAGACAAAAGCTTCCTTGGCCTGTGATTTTCAAGTTCTAAGAGCCAAGGGCTAGATTTAAATCAAGATAAACTCTGAACATTATGATTCAGTTGTTAAAACCTCAAGATTTTTCTAGGCATCTCAGCAAATACATTATACTTACTGAACAATATCTTGCAAATCAAGGTTACAGAATGCTTCGCAAGCTATTTTCTCTGCATTGTAGAAAGTGAATGAAATAGTCTTCAAATCGAGGCCTTATTACTTTTCATGAAGCAAGGGGCTACATGTGTTACATGTTAGGAAGAACCTTTTCAGACACTTATTTCCAGCATTTCAGGAATCCCAACAAAAAAAAATCCATTGGTACTGTAATGTTACCAGGTCTCATTTAACTGAGGAAAATTTAAAAGAAAGCTGGCTGTGTCATGGCATGCTGTCTCAGAACAAAACAAGATGAGGTAAACACTTCTGAAGGTCCCTCAGTATAACACGCAACTATTCAAAACAGACTATGGTGAGAATGGCAGGATGTTCCAGTTCATCTGTGTTTGTAGAGTCCCAGACATCACAGGGTCTTAACTCACAATCAGGGTTCAGAGAACATGGATAGAGGCCTCTGTGGCTGTATCACAACACTAAGAAGTGCACTACATGCTTCCAGAATAAATCTGGTACTCAGGACAGCTGTATACTTTTCCATCATGAAGCACAATACCCTCCAGTCCTGCTCTGAGGACAGGCCAAATTTAGTAATAAGCTGTCCTCTGTGTTCCCTCTCACACAGCGGAGATACAAGCAGGGTAGAAAGATAAGAAACTGCCTTTTCCCACCTTCTATTTCCCCCTCAACTGCAAGGCCCTAGGATCTATAGCAATACAAATAACACTTCAACCAAAGAAGCCAGCCAACTCAGTAGATGCAGGTTTGAACCCTGGTTTTACAGAACGTGTGAGATCATCATCACCTGGTCACATTCAAATTGCACAATGGAAAATGACACAATGAAAGTCTTCACACAGCAACTAAAGTAAGTCTGGGCCCTCCAGGTAGTACACAGCTATACTGACATAGAAACACCTGTTCTGAAAAAGGTACAGCTGTGTTCCAGTGGCATTGCGCCCTGGTTAATAAGTTCACTGGAGCTCACAGCCTACACAGCAACTTGCACCAAACTATCCCTGTTATTCACTCTGCCTCATCACAGCAGACTGAGGAGAGAAAGATTTCAAATGCACCTACTCACAGAGCTCTGGCAGGGCCCAGATGGCTAGAGGGTATACACACAGGCATGCAATTCAAGATCACATACCTCAGCACATCCTCATATCAACAGTGTACCTAGAAGGATGTAGATCAACCACATGGCTCCTCTGCATTTGTTAACATGTCCTAGATACGAGGACTACCATGACAGCTTATTAACAAAACCATAGCAGAGGCAGTCACAAAATGATGTCAAATACTGGTCTGAAAATAGAACTTCCCTAGCAGAATACTTTTCTCTATTGACATAACTGCCAAATAGGTAGAAGTATATGATGCCAACACTCCAATTTTGATGGCTCTTGTGCCAGACAGAGAATACAAATCAGATTCCTGACAGAAGCCAACCAGTTCTGCCACTGCCCCTTCAGTAGCCACCTGAAAGGCTCTGGTGCAGTCAGAGAGCAACGGCCTTTCAGACTCCTCCTCACAGGAAAGCAAAAATCTTAACTCCCATCTGAGTCCTGCGGCTTCTAGGTGTCTATTTGTTTGAGTGAGATTAGATGACTGATTCTGAGACTGCTTTAATAACTGATGGCAGACTCCTGTGTGTTAAGTCAGCTCTGTAACACTCTCACCATAGAAGTTGTGCCACAAATCTGCTTAGCTGGTAAAGTCCTTAATGCAAATCAGAAAGACATTAATAATACCCTCTGGTATCTTTTTAGTATCTATGCTATGCCAAAACTTGGGTGATTTATTAACATTTAAGGAATAAAAGTATATAGATTATGTGGAGAGAAGAGAAAAAAAAATTCACAACCTATAAACTCCTAAGGTTATCTCTGATTAAGAACATTGAATATCCAAACAATGTTTTCATTCCTCCAACCATTTTTAAATGAAGCACTGCACACTATCTGAAATCAGTGTGTTTCTCATAACTCTGCAGTTACATTTCAAATCCTACCGTGTTGCAAGCTTATGGCAGACGACACCAGTGTCTGTTATGACTTCACTCAGTCTCAGCTCAAGGTGAACCTTCCCCTGAAACACACCAAAAGACCACATGAAAAGTTAGGTTTATGCATAGCCAGCCACATCATTCCAACTTCAAACAAAGCAAGATGGTTAAATGCAAGTAACTCCAGGAGTTTAACAATTAAGTAATAGCTGTATAGCTATAACTGCCATAGAATTCAGATTAGTAGCCATTTCACTAAAATTTCAGTGCGTAATTCTCACCGTTATTTGATCTCCATGTTTTAGAAATTGATATGGGGGGTCTGCAGCCTGACACAAAAACATTTGGTTGGAGCTTTATCTATATTTAACAGTTTAAATATTAAGCAAGGATCTGCAATACAATCATTGAAAAGATATCACACCAGTGTGTTATAAATGAACACCTACATGTTTTAAACATGAGAAAACCAAAAATTCTGAAATAATATAAACTGTGTATCAGTAAAATTATATTGGACAACTGAAAAAAACAAAATACAACCATGCTGCTAGCATTCATAGCATCTATTATTCCACAGTCTGTAACTCCTTATCATCACATTAACTTTCTTATGACTTGGGCTAAGATATTGTGCTCAAATATGCTAAGAAAATAAAGGCAATCGGTATTATTAACTCTTACTAACTCTATTACATTTCAAAACATGAACATCCATTCCAGTGACAAAAACTCAGCACCACTCTTAGGGGTACGTAAAGTAATTGCAAAGTATGTTTTGTTATTGACCTATTCTGACTTGCTGGCACTGCCCAATCATCTGCAAATCATTGTGGCCAAAACTTCGACACTCACTTTCATAACTTCTCCTCTCCACCCTTTTTACCAAAGGATACTAAAATCCACCCTGCTAGTTAGTCAGAGCTCTAATGTGGGTGTCATCTTTGACTCAGGTCTACCTCAACTCATACAAAAATGTGCTGCCACCCCTTTCACAAGATCTTCCAGATTTAACCTTTCCTCTTTTTTGCACATAAACAGAACTCTTGCCAGAGACTTCCCTGTGTCTTCTATTTACCGACTCCTGCTCTATGAGGATGTCTGCCCTGCATAACACAGGAGAGTGAAGATCAACCCTGGCCTCAAGTTGCTAAGATCTACTTCCTCTACAGCATACTTGTCTGGACAAAAGCTGACGAAACCACTCCAAAGCAGAGCAGGGAGTGCAGTAACAATTAAGTAGCATGGACACACAGAAGTTCAGTTCAAGGTCATTGCCTGGTCCTCTTACTTTTAGCAGTATAAACAAACTCTGAAGTCAGTGCCTGAACACTTGTCCTGAAGAAACCTATGAGAGTTTCTGTTTCTTACTGCTAAAAAGTCATTCTCTTCCTTTCCTTGTATACTCCTTTGTCTCGATACCATTCTCTCTGTACTATCTTGAATGCGGGCTTCATGCTTTCCTGCACTTCACCATTTCACTCCTCAAAACTTCCATCACCTATTTACACCTTTAGCATTCTGACTCAGTAGCAGTTTTTCCTGTCCAAGGGCTGGAACGCAGGCCTTTCAAGTACATGTGGCAGAGGATACTGGTGCTCATCATCACAGAAAACAAGACAGACAATCTCTCCAAGCTGTGTGAGAGCCCATGGTGCAGAGGCATCACAGCAGCTACCTGGCATTTTGAACAGGGAAGGACCCAAATGTGTGTAGGAGTTTAAAAAGATGTTTCCTGCCAAGTGTCTTGTGCATCCTTTTAAAAGAAACAATAAAAACAAGGTGAAACTCAAACGTTGCATTTGTCTGTCAGACTTCTGATTCATGTCTGTTTCAGCAAGACATGTATCCTCCTTTGCCCTGTCAGTCCACGCAAACGTCAACATCTGTCATTTTCTTCCAAACTGAAGCCTGTCCTCAGGATTTCTCTGCACAAACGCATACAGCCACTTCTAGACCCACCTCTTCAACACTCAGTTCCACTGCAGTGCCTATGTACTCATGCATAACAAGGCTAAGCCCACAACCAGCCAAGAACTCTGGTTAAGCAGGATGGTTTCTGGCTTTAGTTTTACTATGTTTTCCTTTAGTCTTCACTGCTCTCTCTTCCACTGGTCACATATTTTACCACAGGATCTAAACCACTAGTCTCTGGAAAACAAATTTATATTATGAGCCTGTAAAAAAACACTGCTGCTGTATCTGTTGGTATCCTGCATATCACCTTTACTAGAGGAATCAAAACAAATACAAGTTTTGAAGAAATTACAAGACAGGAACAGAGACTTATAAACTCTAGAGGAAATATCCTGCTGCAGAAAAATAACAAGAAGGTAAGATACTGTTTTATAGAACTATTTCTGCTGGTTTTAAAGGTAAGACTAACCTCTCTCAGAAAATAAGAATGCTTCCATGCACTTAGGTGAGCCTGAATGCAAACTTACTTACAGTGCCCATTTCCTCAATCTCACACAGACTAAGATGAAAGCTCCCTATTTTTGAAATTAAGCTGCAAAAAGCCTTTTGAAGTCAGCAGTGCTGCACACATTTTCCTGGCTACATTAAGCACAAAACCACAATGCTGCTTCTTTTGGACCAACTCTCATTTTTCTCTTGTGAAGCCTTTGAAAACGGTCAGCTGCTCAAAAAGCATCTCAAAGCTTTAGACAGCAAAACAGAGGTCATGGGATCACTGGGATCAGTAGCCCTATGACTGTTCCCAAAGCACCTCCTTACTTCCAGTTAAAAACTCCAATGCATAAATACCCTAAAGTAAGGCTACATCAACATACTTGCAGGCTTAATTCACAGGAAATGTAACTCCTACATAAACAGAATGCTTTTTCCCAAATCGATTATACTGTTAGGCAAAATATATGGATTCTCTGAATAAATTTACTCCTGAGCAAGGGCATTAATTGGTTTACAAAATAGCAGATAATCCAGGGAAGAGAGAAAACTGTAAATAAATCTGTGTCATAAAATCAACAGTTAACCTAAGCAATATAGGTCAACCTATACTGAATTAAATGTACCCCAGAAACAGGGAGTTACCAATATTGTATTTACTGACAGTTTATAAGAAATTCCTGTTTTTATTATTAAAAGAACTAATGTGATAATAGCAAGAGCTTCCAGTTGTACCAGGGGCACTCAGTTACACATTTACAAGAAGGAAAGATCTGATAATGCAGCAGGATAAAAAAATATTTTGCTCCTGTTTTACAGCTGAAACACCGTGGCTTGGTACTCCTCAGACAGAATCCCTGCTGCAGAGCCAGGGACCGAGTCTAGGATCAGTCCCAGGCCATAAAGCCATAAAGCTTTTTTAAATGGAGTCCAGTGAAAAACCTCAGAGAAGCAGCTGGAGGTTTGACAATTTTGAAGTAGAATGCATTAATTATTAAAAACATTTTCATTAAAAAATATTCCAGGATGTTCCTAGAAGAGCCATGTTCATTAACATATCCTTCACATTTGGAAGGGTAGGGCTTTTTCAAGGAACAAGCTGAAGGAGTGCCAACTCAACTGCTGAACGCTTCCTTTTCCATAAACGCTGACTGATATGGATGGGTGGGTTCATAGGTCGTACGTCCTTCCTAATCACATCTAACATCACATAATGGGGCCAGCCAGCTTCCATTTTTCAGTTCTTGATGAAAGAAGCCATCAGTAGACTGACTTTTTTTTTGTAGGGAAGTAGCATTCAAAAGGAAATCAGTAACAAAACAAAATTTTTAAAGGGCCTTACTGTGTTAAAAACCAAAACCAACCCCAAACTACACTATGCTTGTTTATCCCCTTTACTAAAAAGTAATGAAATCAAGTCCCAGTCTTTTAACATTCTTTAACAGGTATCTGGGAGAACTACATGCACGGTTATCTGAAAAACGCACTCATCGTAAGC